AGAGAGAGAGAGAGAGAAATTTATAATGAACGATCCTTCTTCATGATCGAGCTCATTTTCTGAATATTCAAAATACCATGTGGCTTTCATTTTCACAATTTTTCAGAATGAAATCATACAACCTTGATACAAGAATAAGAGGGCCAGAAGTTTGAGATTCATAACCAGAAGTCAAGAACCACATGCCATGATGGTTCCAAAACCGCTTTCATCACCTAAGCAGTAGTCGAGTGAATTTTTCAACCTTCAAAATTGAAATGCTGAACACTCCTCTATGGGCGTTCAATTAGAATTAGAGATGCATTTTGGAGTCCCTTGGAAAAAACATAAAAGAAAGTTCCACTAAATCTCATTAGACCCCTTCCATGTTGGATGACATGCAAAACAAACCACTGCTTAGAGCCACTCATGAAGGGACTGATAAGTTAAACTCAGCTCCAACAAGAGAGAATAAACCTTCCCAAAATAACATAAGCAGTATCATAAAATTAAGACAACTCCCAATGAATGATTACTCCAAAAAGCATGTTACATATTTTGGAATGAATTGACATTAGAATAACCAAAGACATCACAATTATTGAGTAATCTAGAGGAGGAAAAATCCTAGCCCTCTCTCAGTTTTACAGGAGTAATATATTATTAACATTAATAAATTAAGAAAAGGCAGAGCAGGATAGACCAAAACCACATGAGAAGGGATCAAAAACCTCTCTAAAGGCCAGAAAGCCAGGAACGTATGGAATTTGAAGCTGGGTGAGATTGTAATCATCATACACGACCTCCATACTAGCAATATCCACGATAACAATGGCACCACAAGCTATAGAAGGGTCGTCTTTGCAGAAGCTAATGTCAACCCCTCCAATAAATCGTAATCTATGACTTTCAGATGTCCCCTTTAAGCTAGATTCAGATGCAGATATTGACCACATGAAATTATCTTCTAGGATTACTTTTCTCTTCAGCAAGTTCTGTACCCTGCAAATTTATTATAATCTCACAATTATCACTCCAACATTAGCAGATAAGTTTACTTTATTGAGAAAATGTTCACCTCTTAACAGGACAAAATTAGCTCCAAGGCCTATACATTTTGCCTTTCTCAAAATTAAAAGGCCGTACATGATACAAAATTAACCAACCCACATTATAGTTATGACAGTTCTACATAATTCTGCACTTCTGCATGAGCAGGGAGATAAATGCAAGTTCCAGTCTATACAGAAGTAATAAGATTCTTTTCATCAATAATTATATAATTTTCTTTTCATCAATAATTATTTGCAGTGTTTAGAAATCCAGGTCGGTCGGGTGAACAGGCCATCCGGGGAACTGGTTGGGATCGGCGAATCGCCTATCCTGATCAGCGATCCAGCCTAGAGATTGGCCAATAAAAAAAAATGAAACTAATAATAATAATAATAATAATTAAAAAAAAAAAGTGGGAACCAAGCAATCTGGCCAGGCCAAATCGCCACGTTCCCTGACAAAACCGGCCGCTTTGTGGTTCCAACTTGGAACCAGCCAAGTCCCCACTGATTCCCGACCTGGACCAGCCAATTCCTATCCAAATCGGTGTTTTTTGAAACATTGATTCATTTTGACTTGACTACAGAACTTATAATAATAAAAAAAACAGTTTAACCTACAAACATGCTTATTCTCACTTTGGTTCCAAAATGCCCAATTCTAAAGTCTAGACTGAAAGAAACAAACAGCAATTATGGAAAATGAAAAGTGAGACATCCATGAGTGGGAATAAAAATAACAGTACCTCAACTTGAGCAGCTCAAATTCTTTGGTTTCTATTCCTTTAGATATAATCATATACTTGTCCAACCAAAATCTTGTAAGGAGATATTTTTCATTCATTAGTCTTTTGAAATCACAGTGTACCCTTAAACTAAGTCCAAAATCAGGAGAATGTTCACTTAATATTGACTGCATAAATGCACTTGTAAAAATGTCAATATATTATCCCCATAATTATGAAGAGAAGCACGAATTGTAAATTCATGGATAAATTTTTTTTTTTTTGAAGTCGATGGATAAATAATATGTAACATAATAACCTCGAATAATCCTCTGCAAAGTAATGGTTACAAAGTTTAGGGAAAACAAATGATATGCAATAATATGAAGTTATTGCATATCAAAAAAAAAAAATGAAGTTGTGAACACATACTTAATCCATTTGATATTGTTTTGAAATCACAACTTCTATGTAAATCCAGAATCATGAGTCTATTAACCAAATGATGCATACACATGTATGGGAATCGATAACCTCCATGACCTTGAGCAGATACAGGCATGGAATTAAATGGACAATAACATTAAGTCCATGATCACAGCATTCATTAACTTAACAGTATTTTCTGAAACTAATTCCTTTGAAATTTACGACAAAATAATGATGCAAAGAATGTAGACATACTCAACCCAGTCATCAGGGTTTGATGAGAGAATAAACTCGGGTTTTGACATTGCCTCATCCATGGCGTTACATCAAGGGACTATGTATGGCAATTGAAGAGCTTGAATGCTAAATCCTTCCAACTATGGAAATAAAAAAAAAACCTATAAACCAGAGATTTTTGCTGTATGTAAAGGCAGTGAAGTAATAACAAGATCAAAATATAGATTATTGTAGGAATTATATATCCTGTAAAATAAATAACATTCCATTAGATCAAAACACCAAAAAAAAGTGAAAATTTTGAAGTTAGGCACATATAAAGAATGCAATTTGCCAGGGGATTTTATTTTATTTTTACCAATGTTAAAATTTGCCAGGGTTTTCATACACTGAAAAATAAACATACTGAGAATAAATTAAAGGAGAAACGATGTGTAAAATATTGATAGAAACAGCACTCGGAATTCATTTACCTTTTTTGGCCTCGATGAAAATGATTATGAAAATAAATGAAATCTTCTAAGGAAAACTAAAAATTGAGCAATGAAACTCAAAATGGAAAATAATAAATAATAAATGCATAAACACCAGGTGACCAACAAAAAAACGTTTTCGCGGTCAGTCAGAGTAGATTTCTCGCTGAATACTCACTAGAGTACAGTATGATCCATATGACTGAAGAAATACAGTAGTCATAACTGTTAATGACCGTTTGATCAAGTGATGGACGAGATCAGTACGAGACTAGGGCGAGTCGACTCTAACTCAGCCGATCTGCCCAAAGTTTTGTGTACAACTTCCGGCGCATAAAAATTTTAAGAAATACCCAAAAAAAGAAAAAATATGGAATTGTTGTGCAATTTTGTTACTATTTTATCTTATTTTTTTTCAAATATTTTAAAATGTCCCAAATATAAATCATTCTTTTTTCTATATTTTATTTGAATTTTTTTGGACTTGCTTTGGTTTTGTTTAATGAGAATTGTTTGGAGCGTCCAAACCCGCAGCTGTTACTATACGGGCTTGGAGATATACACCATCCACCAAAGAAAGTCTAGGTCTACACCATAAATAATAGTCATCTAAAGAAACGTAAAATCAACAGTTCAAATATTTTTTTCAAAAAATATCATTTCTAGTTTTTAAAATGTATTTATTTTTACATATTAATATTCTATACGTTAAAAATTATATATTCTCTAAAAACTAAGATTAAATTTCATTTCAAAAATGAATTATTAAGGGGCATGCATTTCTACATGCATGGACTTCTAGAAACCGTGCCTTTTATCTAATGTTTATTACTACTTTATTTTATTTTGTCAAAATTTCTAATTTTTGTATTTTTCTAGAGCTTTTAGCCAAATATAGTACTGAGACGTGCCCAAATAATCATAGAATAAGTGTCCTTTATTTAATGCTTACCACTACTTTATTTTATTTTCTCAAATTCTCTAATTTTTATATTTTTCTAGAGCTTTTAGCCGGATACAATACTCAAAGTTGCCTAAATAACTCACCCCGGGCTATGGCCGAGCACCTGGACCGCGGTGAGTCTCTAAAGATTGGACAAGAGAGACACTCTCATTAAACATCTCAACCATCCATTAAATCATACACGTCTTAGTCCATTAAGTTTAGGAAAAAGTTCACACAAAGAGGGAACTTTATAGTATTATACAAGAACTGTCGGGCGCACCTCAAAAACTTACAGGAAAAGGTTGTTCTAATGTTAAAAAACTCTTTAATTTGTCATCGATACGAAAAAAAAAACTTCAAAGCGTGAAAAAGTACATCTTTTAAGCATTACTTGGACCACCCATTTCTAATATTTCAAGTTTTATTATTAAGATTGGATATAGAATGTCATAACACAACCGTTAGATGATTTTCATAAAGATCAAAATATTTTTTTTTGGATTTGAGACCCGGCAATGGAATACTCTCAACTACTCGATTTCACATTTGAGTGACCAGTTGATAAGATGATTATAACCTCTTTATACCAAAATTGAAGTCGTGAAGCAAATTATCCATTTATTACTTTGGTGAAACTCAATCTAAGAATATTTTAGGATCTCAAATTTTGAGATGTAACCACGTCAACTCATAGACTAACCTTGATGAAAAAAATTTCCAACTCTCGAGTGCACTTTTAAAAATAATGTCTCGATGTTGAACAAAAACCGTCTAATATTTGGAGGGTCAGACCTAAATTTTAGAGAACTTACAATTCAATTTATTTTGAAAATAATGATTCAGTGATTCTTAGATGGTTCCCAAAAAATTCAAATCGAGAAAAAAAAATCCCAAGTGGATCTTCTGCCCGCTAGAGTAGCCGTACACTGTGGTCTATCGCAATACTCCGTATCTCTCATTGCCGTTCTGACATCTTTTTTGTGTGGTCTCTGGTATGGTCGCTCACGATTCAACCGTGTCCATGCTTGTCTGCATGATTTATGGGCCGTGAACCAATTGCTTCTTTTTTTACTTTCGCACGCTTAACATTTCCCTTATATGAACGCCTTCCAGTTATACTTTTTAATTGTGGATGCATAATACTTCCATTATTTTCTAAGGAAATTGGAGTAGACCGAAAGGTAACTCATCTGTTTATTTTATTTTGACATGGTCATGAATAGGAGTGAATTGATAAATACTTTATAGGAAAGTGGTGAGCATGTATAGAAATACCGGTTTGGTAATAAATATATTTTTGAAATATAATTTGATTCTAATTTTTAAAGAATATATAATCTTTGAGATCATAAATATGAAAAAAATAAATAAATTTTGACAACTAAAAATAATAATTATATTAAAAAACATTTTGACTAGTTACAATTATTTTTAGATGGACGACCTATTTGCATCTACCTATAAGATGGATGTTTTATACCGGTCCAGCCTACATGAAACAAATGTTCTTTTATAAATCAATATAATATTTAGTTTTTATAGATGGACCCGGTTTCTATGCGGCCAAGCTTGAATATGTAGAAATGCGAGCCTCTTAATAAATCTATTTTTGAGATGGATTTTAATACTTAATTTTTAAGGACTTGTAACCTCTAAGATGGAGGTCTTGAATATGAAAAGATAAATACATTTTACAAACTAAAAATAATAATTCTAATAAAAAAAATTGGACTGTGTTTTTCTATTGTTGTTAGATGGAACACTTACTTGCATCCATTTTTATGATGGATGCTTTACACTTTCTGGATTGCATGTGTAGAAATGCGGTTCAGCCCGTACAAAACAATTTTCTTTTATCTATAAATCCTTTATATTTTTTTATAAATATCACTTTTGTCGTGGTTAGAACATAAAATATTTTTAAATAATCAATTTGATTTGTAAAATAATTTTAATTTTTAATAAATATAATTTTCAGATTTTCATGCTAGGTAGATGAGAAAACAATTTTGATGGATATAATGATTGACTTGATTTATAAACTCTTTAAAGCATTTGGTGAGTAAGCCGACTCACTTGTAAATGTGCAGCCGCCCTTTGTAATCAATCCTTAAGATGGATTTTGGCTCCAAAAAAATTGGAATTTTTACTTTTAAAAAATAAAAACCATATATATATATATATATATATGAAAAAAAATGGTATTAGTCCACTAGCTTATATGAACATATGAGCCCAACGGTCTATATTGAATCTGGGCCAATCTGACGATCACGGATGTCCGGTAGTGCTTGAATTTTATTTTAATTTCTACAAATTCAAATCACTTGAAATTTTAGATGTATGTTCTTCTAATCAAGGCACACCTAATAAAAATATTAAAAAATACTATTCGTGAAAAACAAAATAACCAAAATACCCCCTAAATTTGGGGGTATTTTGGCCAATTTATTTCATGTAAAATATTTTTTGATATTTTTTGAAGATTCACCTATTTTTGATAAACACACGCTTAAAATTTCAAGTGATTTGGATTTTTAGAAAAATAAAATAAAATTCAAACACTACCGGACATCTGTGATCGTCAGATCGACCCAGGTTCAATCTAGGCCGTTGGGCTCATAGGTTCATATGAGCTAATGGGCTAATCTCAGATTTTTCCATATATTTATATAAGCCCATAGGCTCATGGAACAGTGTAAGCCCAACGGCCCAGATTGAATTTGGGCCGAATTAACGGGCAGAACTGTATATCGGTAATATAATTTTAATATTTTTATATAAGTCCAAATAGCATGAAATTTGGATCATAAACTCTTCTCATCAAGGCGCACCTAATAAAAATATTAAAAAAATAATTCATATACAATAAATTGAGCAAAATACCCCCGGAACTTTTCAGGGGTATTTTGGATTTGTAGATAAAAACTTAAAATTTAATTACAAAAT